TTTACGTATTGTTTCATGAGAGACATGCAATTCCAGAGCCATTTCACTAGTGTGTTGCCTTGGGTTAGACTCAACAAGCGTCTACAGAGCATCAATATCAATTCCAACATGTCGGCCCCTAGCATCACAGTTTTTAAGGCTAAAGTCACCTGAACGAAATTTGCCGAACCATCGTTGACACTTACGAACATTCAAAACATTTCCATAAACTTCTTTGATATTCTTTGTGACTACAGAGGCATTGTTTCCCTTCTTGTACTCAAACAGCATTACATGCCAAATGTGTGTCTCGTCGTATGCCATCACTATAAGGGATTAGAGTATACTAAACTTTACACATTATATAGGCTACACTAAGGTGATGTTTAGGTGGTTCGTTTAACTATTATACATGATGTATGTTTTTGGGTGGTGGTGAATGGAAGTGTTCAAAAATGCGACAGTAATTTCTTGACAACCTAATATATTTGATAATTTACCTGTTGCTTAATTACCCTAAATTCCAAATGGTAGCTCTAACTAAGTAGCACTAGAACATATCTGTTAATAACATATTAAGTACAAAGCTGGTATGAGTAGTCTGAAAATTACATAGACATGAAACTTGAGATTTAAGATGGTGTGATGAACAACCTGCATTCCCCAAAATCACCACAGGCGAAGCTATATGAGCTTCAGCTTGTTCAAAAACTAACAAAATAATAATGTATCGTGGGCTGTAGATCTGTTCTGAGCTTGATCTTAAACCTATTTTCATCTAGGAAACAAATACAGATAGATCCATATCGTTTTCTCTAAATATTCAGGAATATAATATAAAGAAATGCTTTTTCAGTAATTTAGAGACAGAAAAAATGTTAAACGATACCTTTGGTAACTCAGCAGCATGTGAATAGTAGTTATAAACAGATCAATTGAAATCTTTTACGTACACTAACATTTTTGTACACATTTCTGCCTCAGGCCATGTTCAGCTGATTGATTTTGGACTAGCTAAATGGTTGGCTTATGGTGAACGAGCCAACACCATCTGTGGTACCATTCAGTATATGGGTAGGTATCAATCCTTAATTGTTCTAAAACAAGTTTACCTTTCTTGAATTATTAGATAATGTTCTATATTCATAAGTCTTCTTGAACCAATCCCATCAATTTTAACCAGATCTGTTACTACTATAAAATCCTGTAGAATGATGTAGTAAACACACAGGTATTTATAGTGACTTACCTGTTGTGTGTGTGTGAACCAAATATTTACTTTATTTTACTATAATATTAGACTTAGAAGCTGTCACTGCACCTAGTTACATTTGTTTGGTCAAGTAATTGCTTGTTTAGGTGCAGACCTGTGTCATACCATTCATCTGTCCGTGCGCCCCCCAGTGGCATAGTTGTATGTCTGCGGACTTGCAGCGCTAGAATCCGGGTTTCGATACCCGTGGTGGGCAGAGCACAGATAGCCCTTGTGTAGCTTTGTGCATAATTAAAAACAAACAAACAAACAATCATCCATCCATGCAGGTACTTATGGTAAGGTTATGCTGATTGGATATTAATCTGTCCATGCAAGTACTTATGGTAAGGTTATGCTGATTGAATATTAATCTCTCCATGCAGGTACTTATGGTAAGGTTATGCTGATTGGATATTAATCTGTCCATGCAGGTACTTATGGTAAGGTTATGCTGATTGAATATTAATCTGTCCATGCAGGTACTTATGGTAAGGTTATCCTGATTGGATATTAATCTGTCCATGCAGGTACTTATGGTAAGGTTATGCTGATTGAATATTAACCTGACCATGCAGGTACTTATGGTAAGGTTATCCTGATTGGATATTAAATATTGTCATGATCAGTAGCCTAAATGATCACCTAAGCTTATCAAAAACGTACTTTTCATTATTTATTACTAAATACTAATTGCTACATAGTTTTTATCTCATATTTTGGCTACTTATCTGCCACTGTCTTCAGTGGTTATAATTTGGAACTGGGTCTTCCTGATAGAGAGACTGATGTGCTATCCTCTTGTTTGGTGACCTAGGTGACAGTATAGGCTACTAACCATGACAGTGATGTGCACGTGTAGTTTGTATGTTAGGTTATTGACCTGATAGAGAGACTGATGTGCTATCCTCTTGTTTGGTGACCTAGGTGACAGTATAGGCTACTAACCACGACATGATGTGCACGTGTAGTTTGTGTGTTAGGTTATTGACCGAATGTGAAGTTCTTTCACCCCCATCGTAAACAGCCATGTCAGTATTGGTATTATCATACCTTAAAATACCATCCTAGAAATACACCTTAGATGCATTTAAATTTAAATCTTCTCTTTCAGCACCCGAAATTCTAAAGATGGAATCGTACACTAAAGCAGTAGATTGGTGGTCTCTTGGCATTATTATGTATGCCTTGCTAACAGGACAGGTAAGTGTTTTAATTTTTTACTGACTGTGGTTATAAGTGACCACGTGTTTTAGATATGATTGTAGTAAATGTGGTAGAGATTATTAGTATTATCACTTATATGTTTTTGATTAAACATAAATATGTAATATCCTTTGACACGTTTATCACTGGATTTAACAAATATTAATTGTCCCATATAAATGTAGGAGGGATCACCTATAAACTATTACATGTATGTGGGAGGGCTTACCTATAATATATTCCACATTTAATGAAGATTGAGACATGTTTCTTGAACCATGATTTGGTAACAGATACATCATCTCACGATGTGACAAAATTTGTGTTAATAGGTAAAGCACGTTATGCAACATAAAAGGGGCAACTGCCCAGGGGCCTGGGCAATTGAAACCTGGTTATGCCATAAAGCCCGCAAAGCATCTTTAGGCTATATCTTCATTTAATGATAAAAACCATAGTTTTTGGCTTTTATTTGCATATAGATGCTTGATACATTAAGAACGACTGATATAATAACTTGAGTAATAATTAATATGTATTTGTTACTTTATAGATTTAATAGATATTTGCTGTTACTTTATTAACAATTTTACGCTTATATTGTGAGGTAAAAACGGCTGCTGCTATGATTTTGTGTGGTTTATGAGCTCGTTGCTGTCCTAATTTCGGATCTTCTTTTTAAAAAATTCTTGAAAATGTTAAAAAACAGAGAGAGAAAGGGGGCCCAACTAGAATGTTTACCCCGGGGCCCGTGCTGGCTCTCGACGTTCCTGTGTCTAAAAGTATACTCATAACCCCTCGTGTTTATAATTTATTCTAATATAACATGCTTCATAATTTGTAGTAATAAATGAAGAACTTGTGCATGTAAGGTATGTAAATAAATACAGGACTTCGTGTACCATTTGTTAACAGATACAGGAGTATGTGTTCTGTAATATATGTTAATAGGTACACAAAAACAATCAATTACAATTTTTTACAAAACTGCTCAGAAATATATTTATATTACTATTAAAAAAAAACAACAAAGTAAAAATTAGAATCTTATTAGATTGGATAAGAAAACTTAAATATACAAAATATTCTGTAGCACATACTCAACAGTGTGAGGCATGCTTGCATAGTTTGAATGTGCATGCTGATAGCTTGATCGTTTATTTAAACAAAGTTGTCCAGTGTAATAAAAGAGCTATCACTGTACTCTGAGATGATGTAAGTGCAACTGTAATGAAATAAAACTAATTGAAAAATCCTTTAGTTTTGTCTATAAAACTAAATTGTGTAATTCCCTGTTACAGTGTGCAGAAATTCTAGAAAGAAGAAAGGGTAATTTAAATTTATTTCATATTTTTTAAGTTATCTGGTGGTTAGAAGGTGAGTCAAGTTGACCAACAAGGTGAGTCAGTTGACTAACAAGGTGAGTCTTCGCATAACCTCCAGAATTTCCTAAATGAATATCAACATTATTTTTCCAGTAAAACATTTTATTTTCTCCACCCTAACACTAACTGTATTAGCCATGGTCAATTTGACTCACCTTGTTAGTCAACTTGACTCACCTTGTCAGTCAACTTGACTCAACATGTTAGTCAACGTGATTCACCTTTGTAGTCAAACTGACTCACCTTGTTGGTCAACTTTGAAATCTGAAGACTTTAAAATGAAAAACATGTATTTTATTCTTAATGTGGAAATGAGTCAGTGAGAGCAGTCTGGCTCGGTAGAGACTTCTTAAGTTCACAAAACATCATTCAGAAAAATTCAAAGATTGGATTTTTTTTATGTACAACAGCCTTGTAATGTTTACTAAGGCTTGCCGTAATATTTCTGGAAGATAAACTTACTACATCAAAGTGCCTATTATATATAGTTACATGGTGATTATAACATCAGCCGTAATGACCTAGCTCATCTCGGAGTATAGTCCAAATTTATGGCAAAAAATAAACTCTCTGCAGTAGAAAGTATAATTGTAAACACAACTATTATTGTAAACCTTTGTAGATAACCTGTTGACCTAGACCTATGCTTCCCAATGCCACAGTGGTATGTCTGCGGACTTATAACGCTAGAATCCGGGTTTCGATACCAGTGGTAGGCAGAGCACGGATAGCCCATTGTGTAGCTTTGTGCTTAATTACAAACAGACAAACCTAGATCTATATTAAACAATTTGAAACATATACTGTAGATTAATAGACATTTTGGACTCTGTGGCAGTTTTGTGTCCTCTTATTATTTGTAAATGTTTGGGGTCAGTGGAGTTCGTTGTTATTTATATAATTACAGGTATTTTAATAGAAGACTTTTAACGTATTTGCCGACAAACATGATTTATGATTCAACTTTTAAAGTCATGGTTAAATTTTTTTTCCCCTCTCTCTCTCTCATGGTAAGTTTATTTCAAAGACTGAAAGATCAAGAATAAAATTATTTTTAAGATATGATAAGAAAGTAAAACGTGCAGGAACATGTTTGTCCTGAGGATAATGGTCATAAAGTTTGTTGAGGATTTGATAGTTTTTAATAACATGACTAAACCTTAAGATTACCACATATAATTGGTTCATAGATACGTTTTTTTTAAGAATACAAGAATATTTGATATAATCTCTTACAAAATAGTTAGTAGAGGGTAGTAGATCCAGAAATTTTTTAAGATGACTTATTTCAGCTTCTTTTTAAAGGTTTGTTTTCAAAATCTCTTGTTTTGTTTTTACTCAAAAATAGTAAGTTAGTATGTATATATCCTTTTCAGTTGAGTATGTTATTATTTATTTATATTAATTAGGAAAACAAAGCCTGAAAAGTTGTTAATTAGATTATAGCAATACCCTCATCTTTTAAAGAGTAAAAAAATATATATACAAAATACAAATATCTTGATTTTGTGTGTATATATTGCTGGAGAAGAAGCTTTTATTTTCTTAATCTATATATGTGAAATTTTTAACTTCAGTATCCCGTCGAATCAGTTCATGACCACAGCAAGATGCAGAAGCTTGTAGAAACTACCAGCTATACACTCCCAGAGGATTACAGTGATGGAGCCAGACATGTTGTCCGACAGGTAGGGTGCATTGATTCATTTTCTAATACTGTATAAAACCGTCAAACTTTTCAGAATGGTAATATTTTTACTATGACTAAAAGTGATTATTATGGGCAAGAAAAAAAGCAATGCTTGTCTATTCTTGATCTATTGAGTTAGACCTATTTCATGAAGTTTCATTTATCATAATTTTTCACTAAGTTTGGTCTTAAACTTCATTCATATATGATGGTGTGCGTTATGCCTATTTTTTGTTACAAGTAGTCTAGATTAATAAGATATTTGAAAATAAAGTAACATTTGTGCTAGAAATTAATTCTTCCATTTTGTTCAGTGGACATCGTATTTAAAAATTACATTTAAATATGTGGTCTGTTCTATTCTTGGACAAATAATTAACTTCAATTGGTCACAAGATGATGTTAGAAGATGATATTAAGTTTTGCAGATTTTGTTAATGTTGCTTTTAGAAATAGTATTGTTTAGAGTATTTAATATATGTTATTTTTTATTATTATATTGTTATTCTAAAAATAGTTAGCATTGTTAGTTTGGTATATGAATTTAGAACTAACCTAAATCTTCTAAGCTGGCTGACCTTTGTGAGATATTATTGGGATTATGGCCAAAAATGTTGCTAATATTAAATATTTAACTAATTAAACAATTCATTCTAATTGTTTTAAGTAAAAATGTAAGAACATTATACTTATTTTTAATACTGGAATGATTTTTTTAGATCTGATCTACGTAGTTAGGTCACTTTGATCAGAAGTTTATATTAATTGACCTGAACCTGACCCCTTTTTTATGAGCTTTACCTATGGACCAAACTCAGTCTCTTTCTGCTTTGTTCATATGTTTTCTTATTTACTTCACAAAATAGATAATTATATCACAAAAAGAAGACCATAGTAAATGATTTAATCCAATTATCATACCTTTAGATGTTCATTAGCATTTATTTTTTATTCATACCATGATACAAAGATATGGCCGCACAGCTTCAGTCAATAGGCTTAGTTATATCTCATATTTATAAAGCACAACTTATATGTTTTGTTGAAATTATAAATTGTATCAAATTTAAAGATGCTCCTTAGTGCCTTACATGTATCAAAATTCCTATGTTCAAATGGCACAACATAGTAATAATTACTGGAATAAAATAGACAAGCAACTAAGAGAACCAATAAAATTGAATATTAATCTTTGAAGAAAAAAAAAATACAACCTGTATTCAATCTAACTATTTTTGGATTATCTGAACAAGTAGACACAGTCTGAAGTACTAAGCCAAGTTTAAAAACATGTAATTCGTATAAGACGAGCTTTATGGAGGTAGGCCTGATGTGACATTTGGTAAGGACACTTGACTTACAATCTGCTGGGGCCCGGCATGGCCAGGTGGTTAGGGCACTCAACTCGCAATCTGCGGGTCGCGGTTTGAATCCTTGTTACACCAAACATGCTCACCCTTTCAGCCGTGGGAGCATTATAATGTGACAGTCAATCCCACTATTCGTTGGTAAAAGAGTAGCCCAAGAGTTGGAGGTGGGTGGTGATGACTAGCTGTCTTCCCTCTAGTCTTACACTGCTAACTTAGGGACGGCTAGCGCAGATAGCCCTCGTGTAGCTTTGTGCGAAAATTCAAAAAACAAACAAACAATCTGCTGGTTGTGAGTTGAAATCCCACCACCAAATACGCTTGCCCTTTCAGACATATGGGAGTTATAATGTGACAGTTAAGCCCACTATTCATTGGTAAATGGTAGTCAAAGAGTTTCAGTTGGTGGTGTTGACTAGCTGTCGTTCCTCTTGTCTGTCATTTCAAAATTAGGGATGACTAGAACAGACAACTTTCAAGTAGCTTTGTGCAAAATTCAACAAACAATCTATCGGGTAAAATGCGAGAAAGTAATACCAGCTGTTAAATGATATATATAAACACACACACACACGTTTGGTAGCTTCTAAAGATCAGAAATTATGAAACAAAGTTTACAGGTAATGGAATTTTATGATTTTTGACATTGTTTCTAAAATATCTGAAATACAAAATTAACCAATAAGTAGAAGCTTAAAATTAGTGGTTTGTTTTGTCCATTAAAAAGCATTATTTATGGAGGTGGAAAGTTTGAGTAATTCTGCACACACACCACCAAAAAAATGTATCGTGGAGTAAAAAAACTAGGTTTATATTTTGTTTATTAATACTTCATCCAAAATAAATCGGAGTTAAGTTTATATAAAATTAATACTTGAAATACTAATGTGATTTTGAGGAGAACTTGAAAGGGAAAATGAGGTTTAACATTTTAAAGTTATATATGAAGAAGGTGTATTATTTGTCCAAGTACAAAGAACATTATATCTGGAACACTAGTTTCAACATAAAGCACTCATTACAGGATGTATAATTTATTGTAATATTAGTGATCAAGTGTGCATTTAACAGACAGGACACAGACTTGGTGCCCAACAAAGGAATATCTAAACTACATTAAACGACAAAACCGACGCACTGTAAGAAACATTTTGCTAAGAATGAACACATTATCAAAGACTTCTCTGTTTTAGGACTTAGTCATGCTCTAACTGACATAAACAATACAAAACAGCCAGAAAGATGACTAACCTATAAGCTTGAAACCGTTTATCCTTCTGAATGAACGTTTTAAATCATATGAGTTAAAGCTGAGCAGTTGGTGAAATTTATCAATTAATCTTTGAGGTCATTAATCTGTTACGTGTTGAGTATTTTTGTGAATTGTGACATTAATCGATTGCTGAACAACCTTGAATTGGTGGGAAATAGTAATGAGAAATTATTTTGGTAGTATTTCAACTACTTGGATCAAGTACAGTAATAATTGGGAACATTAATTTTGGTTAGTTGATTATTTTGCTTGACATTAATTAATCAATGTAATCGCCTAGCTTTTGTGTAAATCCCCCCCTTTTTTTTTCCAACATATCTCAGTATGTACAACACATACTTTTTGTTATCAATACAACATATCTTTGTATTTGTTCTGGAAAGATAGGCACTGATAAGTTACAAAAACTACAGGAATTTCACATAACTTCTAAATTTTTGCGGTAATGTAGTTTTTATTGTTATGTTTGTTTATTTATTCCATGATACTGCACATCATTGATGCTCTGTTAAAACAATTGTTGGCCATTAGGTACTTTTCCTTATGAAATAAGGTTGAAGCTTGTCTAATTGTACTTTATATTTTAGCCAATCAGCTTTATTACAGCTGTAATTTTGATGATAGATCGGTTTGTTTTGATAGGGGTGGAGGGGGGTGGGGATGAGAGATCAAGGGTAGACCTTATCAAGAAGTGATCACTATCTATATCTTGTCTGACATGGAATTACATACATTTTTAACTTAAATCATCAGAGGTTATACATAAATGTAGAATTACACAGGTATTTGTTGATGTATATCAATGGATCGACATTTGATCATTGATTAAAACATTTACTGTAGTACGCCTGCATACACAGTTTGTATGTTTAACAGTATCTTCTAACAGGTTGGTATCTGTTGTTCTACTGGGAGAGCAGTACATTATTAACTTGTACCTGGTAGCTTCACTTTTTTCCATATTCGAAAGATTTCCTGTTCATTAGATTATGTATATATCACGGGCATGAAATAGTGGTGGATATTTCAGACAAAACCACTGGCTTTGGGATTGCTCATATTCATATGCCAGGGAACTGTATATCTTAAACTGTTATTACAAGATTGGATCGAATAAGAATAAAGTGATTTAAAATTCATATTAGGATGCTTCATCATATTATCTGGTATATAAGGCTCTATTATTTAATAGTCATTGAGTGCATCATAGAACTTAGTTAAAATGTTTGCTTTGCCATTACAGGCAGTAGGCCTATTATTGTCATTTCGTATATCCTTTATTTTTTTATTGTTGGAATAATTTTTTTATTTCAGTTATTGTGCAAACTTCCACAGAGACGTCTGCAGAGCTTGCATGCCTTGAAGTCTCAACCTTTCTTCCGTAATGTAAAATTTGATGAAGTTTTGGAGAAAAAGGTACAGTATTTAAGAGTATTAAATGTATGAAATGTTAGCAAAATTAGATTGACAGGCTGTAGTTAATTTCCCTTTGCATTCATCACGTATATCTTAGTAAACGGATCTAAATATGTATTATTAAAATAATATTGAAATTAGTCGTAATATAGACTTTATGGGGACTTTTTTTTTACCAATAATGAATTGAAATTCAATTAGTAAAGGTAGATAGGCTCCTTTCTTTCATAAGTACCAGTATAGTTAGTTTCATACTGATGATCTGAAAATATTATTTCATTTCATAGTATGGATGTTACTCATCTTACTTAATAGCTAGTTTGAAAAAAAAAGAAAACTGTCAAACGTACTCCAATTATATTCCAATAAAGGGAAAAGGAACACTTTATGTAAACGTCCAATAAATGGAAGGTACATTACTAGCATTGTGGGTGCATTTCATTTTCTAGCTTTTCCAATGCAGTGCATGGCCAGGTGGTTAGGGCGCTCGACTCGCAATCTGAGGGTTATGGGTTCGAATCCCCGTCACGCCAAACATGCTCGCCCTTTCAGCCATGGGGCTCATTATAATGTGATGGTCAGTCCCGCTATTTGTTGGTAAAAGAGTAGCCCAAGAGTTGGCGGTGGGTGGTGATGACTAGCTGCCTTCCCTCTAGTCTTACACTTCTAAATTAGGGACGGCTGGTGCAGATAGCCCTCGTGTAGCTTTGCGCAAAATTCAAAACAAACTAATAAACCAATTCAGTACTGCCCTCTCTATGCAAAATTTTGTGCTCCCTCCTGATCTCTCATGTTTCAACAAGATATTGCTGTGCTGTTGCATGCAAGTGAGCATGTGACAATCCTCCACCAATAGGACTGTGAAACTGCCTCCTAGCACAGCTGATTTCCTCTGTACTGATTGTTCAATTATCACTTCTCGATTTGACACTCATGTGTGCTGATGTTTATTTTTTTTCACTTGTTAGATTCTTAAAGATTTTCCAAACCCACAGTTGTTAAGAGTTAATTTTGACATTTGGTTTTTGCACATGTATACTTTGTGACTCATTACTTCTGCTATGTCTGGTGTTCAACATCAAAACTGTTCACGCTGGACATCCAACTACAATGGCATCAGGTTTTTTGTGTGTCAGGAGGTTATGGCTGTTCTTCAACATGAGATGGAGTTTTACATGTGGCCTGGACCTTCCTCTGAACCCGACATTGACATACCTTCTCCTGTGGATACTGTCTGTAATGATGAAGGTTTTTTACACATATCTCTGCCAATTCTTCTTCCTGTGCATTCTTTTTCTCAGGTATGTTACCCTCTCTCTTTCTCTCTCCTGTTTCATATGATTCTTTGCGTTTCCATCTTCATTCAGTCCCTCTTTCAGGATATTAAGTTTTCCTCCTTCACCAGATATTCAAGTTCATACTAAAATTGTTCTGTACATTTGTCGGTGGAAATGACATGCATATCAGTAATGGTGTATTGTGAGGAGGTTGAACCCATTTCGGGCAGAAGTGCTAACCATAACTCGTTTTTTGACCTGGCTCTTTGGCAGAAGTTTTTGCATCTTCCACATTTGCCCTGTTTATGGCAGCCTTATTGACTACCGTTTGATTATTGTGACTACATAATGTTTGAGTCACCAGTACTGTATGGATTCCTCAAGTAGGGAATTCCTCTTTCTCAACACCTGTTTGTGCCCTGACATTTATATGTCATGTTTCCCCTGTACCTGAAAGGTTTATTTTTTGTGTCTGCTGACCTACAGATGTCACGGGTCGGAGTGATTTGCACTGTTTATCCACAGACCAATTTCTCATACTGTCTACATCCTCAGACCAGTTTTTCTTACCCAAGACACTGTCAGACAGGAAAGGGGTTAAAGTCCTTTTCACCTATTCATCTAATCATTATTTCTCACTTTTGTGTCCAATCAGATTTCAATTGTGGTAATGTTCAGTGAGGGTCTTGAAAGTTGTTGCTTGCTCTAATGCCTTTAGAAATGCTATACTATCATGAGTAAAGTATAAAGGGATCCTGCCCATCCCTGCTGATCATCGAATTGAATAAATCAGGTTCCTCAGGGCTCCCTATATTCTACTGGTGAGGCTAGGGGGTCCTTACCACACCCAGTTTCCAATCACAGAGGTGATGGACAGAGGCTTTTCCTCCTGTGTTAGAATGATTTCCTCTTGGAGAAGAGGGTGAAGTTGGGGTCCCTCTTGAATGTTTTTCCCAGATGTTGCTATGAGTGGCACCAGCCTACGTGGAAGGCCACTGGTAATACCAGTTCAGATTTGATGCTTTGCTATCCATTTAGGGTGTGTATGGCCCTTCTGTTTGATCAATATTGATTCAGTACGTTGTTCATGGAAGAGGGTCCACTATCTCCTCATAATTCCAAACATGGAGTAATTTCATCCTGGGTCCTTGGTTGAGCACAGTTGTTCCACATCCTCCCCATAATTCTGGGGGCAAGTGGAATGTATCTTGCCCACATGGTTGGAGAGTAAGGATGAATGTTCATAATTCCAGACCAGATGAGTTCTGTTTCCTTTGGTTGAGTAAGGCACATACGATCCAATCATTCCGAGTCTGGGATGTTGCCTTTCGGGCTTCTTCAGGTGGAGGAGAAGGTTTGTCCATTTTGGCACTCATAAGTATATACAGATGTAATGTTGCAGTCCAATTACCCTGGCCACCAACAAGGGATATAGGGACCAAAACCCTTTAATTATGACTTTGGCTCTCTGGTTGGGGCTGGACTAGAGTGATGATCACTTATATACAGTTCCACCCACAATATAGGAATTAAGTTCAGGCTAAAGAGCATATCTGTTTGGAATGTAGTGTGGTTCCCCCACTAGAGTGCCAATTTTCATTGACACACCCATGATCTATGCAAATGCTTTCTGTATGGATAATGCCCTCACCATCCCCTCCACCTTCTCAGTGTGGGATTCTAGCTATAAGTGGGAGCGATTATATGTATTGGAAGTTAAAATGTTCCTAAATTGAAATGTATTTCCAAAAATACTTACCTTCTTTTACCCTAACCTCCCCTTCCTCCCCACTAAGAGTCAGTGTTAAATGCTGGGATGGAGTTAATATTGAAAAAGTGATAACATCTGAATGAGGTGCTTATATACAGTACCAGGATAGTGGGTGCACTGATGTAGGTGCAGAGTGTGATGAGACAAATATTGCCAAGGGCAGTTAAGTGGGGTATAAAAGACTAGAACAAGTGAGAATAAATCAGACCAACGCTTAGATGGGCAAAGGAAGAAACCCTGACAGTCGAGTAATAGCTATAAGTGTGAGAGGAGATAAGTATTATTGAAAATATGTTTTCAATTTATGAAATGTTAACTTTTAAAACTTGGTGGTCTGTTGGGCTTTGGATCATTTTCTACCAGTTGTATGTGGCCATTTAGCAATAATCCACTTGGACAATTTAACTGTGGAATCCTATGCCAGAGGGGTACTCAGTCTTGCTGTCTGTGCTTCCAAACCTTCAACCTTCTACTTTGGTCTCATTCTCTACTTGTCCTCCTAATAGCCTACCATGTTCTGTGTGCCCTGAATCTTGTTGCGGATCATTTCTCTAGATCTGACAAGATATTTCTCAAGGAGTGGTTTTTCAGTCAATGCCTCTGCCACTTGCAACAATACTATGTTTCCCTACTTCTGGTTTCCTATTCAGTATCCCCCTCAGCATTAGTGGTGGATGCTTTCAGTCAGATTTGGTTCAACCTGTTTCTATATGTTTACCCCCTATTCAGGTCCTTCTGATAATGTCTTATTGGCCAGCTGAATTATGATTTTTTCTGTTGAGCCTTCTAATGTCCTCCCCTCCTCTTCCTCTTTTGCTCTCTCCTTCTTCAGCTTCATACATTTCTCTTCCATTCAGCCATCTCATCACTCAGGCTTCATGCATGTAGTTTGTGTGGTCCCTTGCATGATAACCTGTACTCACTTTTATTGTATCAGCAGAAATGACAGATTTTGTGACATTGGTCATTCCCTCTCCTCATCTCTCAGAATTTTTCATGTGGACTTTCGACTAGGGCTTATCTGTCTCAACTGTTGCAGGTTACCAGGCAGCTCTTTCTGCTACTTTCTAGTATGTTTACCTCCTTACTATGCTTTTTCATTCCTTTTATCTCCATCACCCTGGACTATTATGTTATTTTACATGCCTTAAATTTCCTCCCTTTTAACCTTAAGCTTTTTGTTCCCTATACCATCTCTCCCTCAAAACTTCCTTCCTTCTTCTTTATACTTGTGGTCTTTGACATTTTGAGGTGTACACGATCAATTCTTCTCGCATTCTGTTCCGTCACTCGTATATCCTTCTCTATCCAGATCATGCTTTCCTTCCTCAAATGTCTGCAGCACACGAGTGAGATCGTACATTTATACCTACATCTCTTCCTTCCATTTCTCATCTTCATTCCTGTATGTATCCAGATCGCCTCCTCTGTCCTCTTTGTGTGGTCTGTTGTTACTTGGTCCCTCGCTTTTTACTTTCATGGTTCCAAATCTCATTCTTCATTTTGTAGAATCCTTCATCCACTTATGATATTTTTCCTGTTACCCTCACTAGATGGCTTCAACAGCTCATATGTTTAGCATATTCATTATTGGAGAATAATGCATTTTAGTGCTTCCCATAACATTCATCACAGGAACCTGACTTCCATGTAGTGGTGGGTTGGGGAAAAGCCAGCCAGAGAGGTGAACTGTATTACATGAACAGACCACCACCACCCTACTCTCTACTGAGTGGATGCATTCACACTCAGGAGACATCCTTCTTGGTCCATCACCCCCAGTGGTTAGGATCTGGGAAGTGGCAAGAACTCCTTTGCCCAACTAGAAGAAAAAAAAAGAGGGGGGGTGAAAGCATGGTTGAGGAGTCTGAAGGAGTGCATCACCATAAGACAGTGCAACAAGTGACCATGAAAACCCCAATTTTTAAAAGCAGACCAGCATTAGATGTTAAACTAGGCATGGAGGATGGGCAGGAATCCCATGCTTGTTTTACTCATGATAGTCCATGAGTGGGTATTTTCTGGATTGGGCCTTCTTGAGCAGTTTTGTGAAACACTCAATCTCATGAGTGAGCACTATATCAGGCCTGAAAGGCCCTACACTGTGCAGATTTTATATAACTATACCCTAGCAGGAAATTCTTGCCACTGAGAGGGATCCTGTAAAGTATGAGGGCTCTGTAAAATTGTTAAAAAGGAAAAGCTTAACCAGTCAGATGTGATGAATGGTGACTGAACATAGTCTATAGCCTGATGAAGAAATGACCAAGTGATGTAGATAGTGTGCTACAAATGTATGAGGGGTCATCCACATACTATAATGGACAATCTCTCCCAACAAACAAAGGAAGTCAGCAGCTGAAGAGTGACTCGTGGGAGGGTTTGATGTTGGATTGGAGCATGACAAGCCAACATAAGTCCTCATTCAGTTGCAAGGCGATGCTAATTCCCTGTTCTGCCTCACTGGGTTTGAGATGAAGATGGCAGGAACCCTTCTGCTATCATGGACCAGAAGACAAATTCCCAATGCTGCCCGGTTTTGTAGTGAAATTGTCCTGCCACGTATGGTCTGATGCATCTTAGCCATACTACACATATGGCACTTCTGAACGCCTGATGCAGATTCTGTATTGTGCTTATATCTTCTGCCCATCCTTGTGACACCTCCTTTCTAGGTGAAGAGTGTTCCCTGGTACAGACAAGGTGCTTTCTCCCACGGGTGTGCCCCTATACTGTTCCAAGGTATATAGTGTCTCACTCCATGGGTTCCCTTCAGGCACTTCCCAGAAGGGGGGATCTCCTAGATAATAGTTTGCACCAGTCTGTCCACCACTTCAACATGGGATTCTAGAAAAATGTGAATTGAGGGGGAGGGTTGTTGCATGTTTATTTGCATGCAAGGATGCAGCAACACCACATTGTAATATGGAATTAGGTGGGAGCCTCAAGGCTAGTGATGAACAAAAAAAGTTTCTACATAAAGGGTAGTACTAGAATCAGATGAGTATCTATTAGAAATACTTTTCAGGGTTGGAAAATGTTAACTCTAGCATGTTCTATCATATGTGACTTTGTTCCTCTTTTGGCATTTGAATATTTGCTACTGACAAGCTTGAAACCATCTAGTGCCCGGTCCAGTATAACCTAGTGAATAACTGAGACATGTATGAAAGTTGATAGACATTCTAGAATGCCTTAGGTAAGATTTATGAGGTTGAATATTTGAAATCTTTAATCTTTCCATGTGTACACATGCAAAACACAAACAAGGACTCAGTGGGATTAATCTGAAGGTACGAAAAACTTCTTTACCAAAAGGGAGTTACCCTTGTCTGGACCAGTGTGCACCTTTCAGTTGTGGAGGGTACACCTGGATTTAAAATTTTAAAATTTATAAATTCGTTCCTATTTACTCAAAACTGTGTCATAATTTATATGTTATCATTATATAACAGGGATTTAGAGTAACTCACAAAGAGAAATTAAGAAATACTTCAACTTCAATTTATGTGCATATCTGAGGAACCTGCCAGTAAACCAAGTATTTAGTTAATTCTTTTTAGAATTTTTTTGGCTAATATATTTAATATTTTCTAAGAAAGTACTGTTCCTTGAAAATATGATGAATCGTGCATTGTTTCTGACATGATTTTTCATCTTAATCAATGATTTTATTACTGAAGCCATTTTTTTCCACCTTTTTATGGTGGTGTAGCATGAGGTCTATATGATTACTAATGAAGCTAAGCTGTGAAAATGGCTAGAGCTGGCAGCTAAAAGCAGTTGGATAGAATAGAATATTGTATGTGCATGTAAAGTAAACAAAGTGTTTTAGCAATAACTTGTTTTTTTCCTACGTAGTGCCTATCTAGAACTCCAGTAGACTGATGTACAGTTTAAGTTACATAGGTCAAATCACAGATATGGGAAATTTTTTTAGGGTTTCTTTAATGTTCTTTTCATTTGTGAAAACATTTTTCTGTTTGAAAGCTATAGGAATTTTCTTCTATAACAAGACATCAAGTAAGATTAGTAAGGTTTAATGAG